TATGTCTTGTATGCAGTTGTATGTGCATATTATAACTTGGGAAAATAAACACCATATCATTTTCTCCATCTTCTGTAAGTTTTTATACTACTACCATACAAGGCAATGTTAGCAATTCAATCTCCAAGTTATTTTGGGATTTATTTAACATATGCAACAGAGATTTCAGATTTATTAATGGAACACTAATGGTATCCTTTTAAGAGGAAAAAAATATTGTATCTTTTTAGAATAAGTGAATATTGATCATAGTGCTGGGGTGACTCCATGGGGGAATACAAGCACAATAAAATGGAGAACAAAGTATATACCCTGAATTCATAATGCACTGAGAGGTGACTGTGCAATTAATTGCATGTAAGTCAAGACAGGTAGGTGATTTTACAGTCTAGGTGAAATCCCAGCCTTTCTAGCCAGAATATAACATGAAACTTTATATTACTTCAGTGGAATACATCAATAAAAGTAAGGTGTGCTGTCAGTGCAAACTTTAAGTGATTAGAATTTTGTCCTTTACTTGGAGAATAGCATGAATGAGAGATCTGTCCACAACTCATGATTAGTAAGTTGCCGCCTTTCCTTCTAGGAGTTCAGCAAGGGTGCAGGCATTTGGAATGAGGCACTGGAGGTAAATGCACAAAAGCAAGTGGGAGGCTGTGAACACCTGAATTTTTATGCTTCAGTTTGACACAGAGCCACTCTCTCAACCATCAGTAGTTCTTCTTCAAAGGCACACTACACTGCCCTCTATACCTCTACTTCACATTTCATCTCTCCATCAGAATCATACTCATCTTCCAGGCATTGCTCATACTCCTTCTATTTCTGGCTTTTCAATGTTCTCCCCCATTCCAGGTACTCCTGGGCACCTCTCAAACCCCTGAAAATTCAGAATCAGCACCACACCATAATAGGTGTTCTTTCTTACTTTTTCTCTTCCAGTCTGCTTCATCAGGCTGTCCTATTACAGACACTGAGTCTTCTGAACTTCTAGACTGCATAGGATTATTCCTTTCAAGCATTTATTAAAAGTGTATAAAAAATAAGTTTATTTGTTTGTTGCCTTTTTTAAAATTAAAGCTGAGATTTCAACATAGTTAAAAACTTCCAACAAGATATTCATTATTCTTGTCTCAATTCACAGCCACTACACAATTCCTTAACCACTCCTTTCTCTCTTTTTTCCATCCCCAAGGAACCTGACACAGGGTGTTAGTGGAAATACAAGGAAATAAATTGTCAAGTCCTGCAAAAATGCCCATAAAATGTCACTGGACCACAAAGGAACAATAGGCAATAAGATAGCATAATGGGAACCATGGAAACTTCAAGTTGTATTTTTATTTAAAATGGAGATTAAATGCAGACCTCCTCTGAGGCTCTCATACTACTCCAGTTGGGCTTGAGCACAATTAATGTTTCAATTATTATCTGAATGTGCTGTTCTACAAGACAGGCTGAGCCAACCTAAAAGCCTACTACCCCTCAAGGAGCTGTTCTGTCCCATCTTCTCCCTGTCCGTTTATTCCCAGTGCTTACCTCCCAAATGGCACTAGTCCTCCACAGTGGGAGAATTCAGCTCCCTGAACAGCACAACCACCAGCAGCATCCCAGGGAAACATAATAAAATAAAGGAGAGAAAGCAAAAAAAAAAAAATATTTACTTCAGACAAGAATCAATCTGAGCAAAGAGCTGGGACCAGGACCATGTGGAACAATGTGGGAGAGATGAAACAACACAACAAGCCAAACCACAGCTGAATAGCCAAGACCACCCAAAACACCATTGTTTGCTCTGCTGGATTTTTTTTTTTATTTATTTTTAATTTTTTTTTCCTTTTTTTTTCAGGAACAGCTTCTTACTCCGATTTGTTTTATTGCAGGAATAAATGACTAGTAACAGGAGAGCCAGGGGTACAACTAGAAATAAACACAGAGCCTGAAAAAGACCAAGCCCCAAATACAGTTTTTTCCCTATCTCAAGGTAAGAATCACCTCTTGCCTCACCCCTAGTCCTGGGTGCATGCTTACTGCAATAGCATTGCTTTTTCACCTTCCTACTACCACTGTTCCTGTAAGCATTGAAGCTATGGCTCCATAAACATGAACAAGTTGCAAAATGAAAGCAAAAGATTTGTGTATTTATTTGATTTAAATTCTGTCCATTTCAATAGCATCTACTTTTTTTTTTCTACTTTACTTTTACTAAATTTCTGGGCTAAGAGAAGTGTGAAAATAACATTGATTTTCTATGCACAGATTTTAAGGAAAAAGTTTCTGGAGCACAAGTGCATAGCACATATTCAATTTGATTACACTGTGCCAGTTGCACATTTATGAAAGAGGTAGTGATGTAAAACACCAAAACCAGTTTACAAGTATAGGATATTTTTGTACTGTTTGTTTTCTCATTAAAATTATTCCTACTACATTCAATCATTTCTGCATTAAAACAAAGTTGTTTTAAACAGAGGGATGAAATGCAGCTGGACTAGTTAGGATAATCCCCAGAAGAAGAAAACTGAGGGGTAAGGACTGGGGATGGAGCATATCAGGACATCTGGAGACATACTAAAAGCACAAGGAGTTGTTCAAGCAGTCCCATCTCATTTGTCCACACTGCTGTCAAAACTCTCCTGGATTGACAGGGCTTCAATACCCATGTATGAGCATTAGATTAAGTGATAAGGTTTTTGTCAAAACCAGAGGTATCCATGGATAACCAGGTCCATGTGCATGTTGTTTAAATGCCAGCCTTTTGTTCATTAGGTACAAGATCCCTCTTGTGAGCTTGGAGAGAGAACCCAGGCAGCATCAAAGGCTTTTTGTCCTATGTGCAATAGAAATAACAGTGAAAATAGCAAAACAAAATACCCTTTGCCTAAGTGGTTCATAGTTTAATGAAAAACTACAAGGAAGTAAGAAGTAATTCACTTTAGTTGGGACTTAATCCTTGTGTGTCCCTCTCAACTCAGAATATTCTGTGAACCTATGAAGTGAGGAAAAAGAGAAAGGATGAGAAAGCCAGGGTAACAGCTACTCACACAAACATCTGGACTTAGGGCTCTTAAATAAAACAAAAATCAGCTCTTTCTCTGCAAGTTTTATAACATTATTTTTATTTCACTTGACAAGTCTCAAAACAATTCAGTGGAGGGGGGACTGCGTCTTGGGGGAAGTTTCTTGTCAGCTACCTCAGACTGTCCAGGTCTCAGTGCTTTTCAGAGCTGCTGGCAGAATTTGAAACAAGAGTCACACAGTTGTAGTAAATTAGATTGATGTTGGTAATTTGGTTAGGGGAACTCACTGGAGGCACGTGGTCTAACATGCTGGAACAGAGTTAGGAGCAGAGTTGGTTATCTCTTTTAACTCCACATTTTCTTCCAGCATGACTCCTCTTCTAAATGCTGTGCACCACACTGGTGCACACATTGGTGCATGCATGACCAATGGAGCAGAGACTGCAGAATAAAGACAGACAGGGAATGATGTACTCCTCCTGTGGACAGCATTAGTGAAATCCTTAATGAAATGTTGTAGCCAGTTCCACTGCCATGCTCCAGAAACAATGTTGACCACATGACTTTATGTGAACTTGGAAACTCACTTGTAGCAGTAACAGCTGCCATCTCAGACCACTTATCAAAGAGAAAATTAAGGGGTGACAACTCAAAACTGCAGCGGATAGAGGTACTTAAGGGTAAAAATGAGGATGTTAAGACATCACTGGTGAGGTTCCAAGGTTAAACTGCTTCCACTGATGAGCCTTTGGAACAATTTATTTACTGGTGTGGTGGCTTCTCCATCACTAAACTCGTAGCATGATGATGAATTTTCTTCAGAAAGCCAAGCTATAGTCCACAGAAATATTATGAAGCAGAACTTATTGTCATGGAAGCAATCACACCAGATACTACTTTTTAATCTTTATTAGCTATGATTTACTATTATTTCCATTATAAATTAACTATATCCTTCTGGGCATCATCAAATCCATCAGGAAACTTGGATCTGAAGGCAACATGCAGATACAACAAAGGAGAAAGAATGCGAATGTGTAAAAAACTAATTTAGCCCACCATACCTGTACAAGTAGGAGAAATGCACAAGCAACTAAAACAGGGAGAAAAATAAGAAGGGGGGAAAAAAAGTTTTGCTTTCATCCTTGGAAACAAAAACATAACACCCTTCTAGCTGTGTACAAGCAGAAAGAAAAGGGAGAAAGAAGGAAAGAGATGCAATCATAGACACACACGACACTTTATTTAGAAAGTCACTGTAAATTACTTTTCCTTATCTGGGCTCTAGAACATTAAGAATAAATAGGTATGGCACCTCAGTTATAGGACAGACTGGTAATGTGTCATTCTTCTATGGAGCTCTGGTTGCTTGGTAAGATTTTACCTTCAGTTTCTCTTTATTTGGGCAGAGGGAGGAAGTTGAGTAATAGGCACAGATACAAATATCTTTATGGTGAAGGGGCTTTGACAGCTGAGGCAGTCTGGTCTCAGGGACTCTTCTTCCACTTCACAGTTACCTCATCTCAATGGCAGAAACGGCAGGACTCCACAGTAAAAGTTCACTATTTTGTTTCCTCTCCTCAGGGAGAAATGTCTATTACAGATAAAAGTGTAGATATTAAGTGTTTCATATATTTTTACCAAGTTGCGTATCTTAAATACTTAGGCTATTTTACTTAATGTACAGCACTGTGGTTTGTAACCCACTCTATATCTACACCATTATTCTGTGGAGATCTGAGTCCCAGCAGGACTGAAAACGCCACCACATAATAAAGCTTCCTCCAAGCTACCAAAAGAATAATTTGCATTTCCCTGTCCAACAATTTGAAACAAAATTTCTCATGAAAATACTTATTTTTTTAAAAGTGTTGCTCATTTCAATATTAAAAGATTCCTGAGACAGCGGGCACTTGATTTGAGACTGCCCTAAATATTTGGCCACAAATAGCACAAGTATTATTGATGTAAACAGGAAGCTTGTTGTTAGCAAAGGTTTTATTGTGTCCATCCGAGTAAAAGCTCATTTTCTGTTCTGGTGACAGTCTATCACCACACATGTCAGACAGTGCTGTCTGGGACAGTGCCAGCTGTGCCAGCTGTGGCTGAGTGCTGTTGAATGTCTGTCTGTGGCGGGGTGTCTGTGGTGTGTGACTGTGCCCAAGTTCCAGACTTGACTGCGTGCACTGCGTAGTTCAGGCTCGTGCTCTCCACCCAGCTCCAGGAGCCTGAGAGCGGATTATACAACATCCCATTCACCGTCTTGACTGAAAAGCCATCTAGGAAAGAAAGAAGCCATATAAAGCAACAGATGTTCTTAAATACTGCTCATCACTGTAATATCAAGCTCTTTAGAACTGCAAGTCTGTTCTAAAACAGAAACATGCGTCTTCCTCTGGGCTGGGGAGGAAGCTGGCCTTTGTCAGACACTCCCACATGCAGTGCCACTGGCATTGCTGGTGACAGCAGGTCCTGCTCCTGGCAAAGGCTGCAACAACTCTGTGCCAAGACCATGCAGCACCAGCAGCTACAGGGCTCTGCTAAAAACCCCAGCCTCACACCTCCTCATCTGGCTGGCTGGTAACATTTTCTGTAGGTGGTGACATGCTTTAGATTGACATCACACACTCCAAAATCAAAATCTGAGCACATCTTTGCAAGGATTCTTCAGATTCCCTTTCAGAATGGAAAATTGTAAGAAAAAGGCACACGAATGCCATCAAGGACTTGGTGTAAATAAAGAGTGATTTATCACTCCTGGCTGAGCAGCACTCAGTTCACTGCATGGATCTGCTGTATCCCAGCAGGACACAGGATGGAAGGCAGAAAACAAACAGCCTATCAAAATAAATCACACCACTGCACCTGCTTCTTTCAAAGGAAGAACTAAAAGAACCACCAGTATGTGAACCAGTATTAGTCATATTCCTTATGGCATCACTGCAAAGTGCCAGGAAAAGACCTTGCCAAGTAAATAGCTCTACTCATACTTCACCTTCCCTGCAGTGAACCAGAGCAAAGTGAAATATTTGGTGAGAGGGTTTTAAAACATCTGTTGTGAAGGAGGGCAATGGGTAGAAATTTTCCCAGCTCAGTGCTTTGTCTATTTTAAAAGCAATCAGACCAGGATAATTTAATTAGAAATAATTAAAAGCAGTATCACAGTGTTTCTCAAGAACTGACTAATGAATTTGTGGTAGGTTTTATCTTCACATTTTGGAAGAAATCTTTTAGTAACATATGAATAGAGAACATGGAGCAGCAAACCAAAAATAAAAACACCTCCTCCCAAAGGAAAGGCGAGAAACAATGCAGTGGCAGCAGTGCAGCCCCAGAGTGTCAACACAGTTATTTCCCCAAACCTGACCTAGAGTTTATGAACCACTTCAGAGCATACATTCTGTCACCAGAACACAATGGAAAGCATTGGAATTTTTTATTTAGGCTATTCAACTGAGGGCAGCTGCAACAGCGATTTTGCACAAGTAATCACTGCATTCTTAGGATTCCATTTAATTTATTTTATGCAAAATCCAGTAAGCAGCAGTGTCTTTAAACCAGGGATGATACTCTTAATATACAACTGTTAGCTCAAGCAGGAAAAGTTGTGTATTGTTGCTAGCACTCACCCCACCTAACTTATCCCTTTGCCATTTCTACTGGGACCATTTGGATATCTCTCTGCATTCCCACCATCTGGCCTGAAACTTACTTGATTCCAGGAGGCGCTCCAGTTCTTCAGGGGGAACAAATTTTTCCCATTCATGTGTTCCTTCTGGTACAATCCCCATTATTTTTTCTGCAACCACAATTCCCAGGACATAGGACAATTGTGTTTTATTGATTGTCGTAATGAATAAAGAACCTTCAGGCTAATTAAAATATTAAAATGTTCAATTAGAAGAGTATTTCGGTTTTTTAAATTGTAAATTTAATCACATTAAGACAAATAATTTGTCTACGTCAAAGTCTACACAATGGAAGAGTAAGAAGTAATTTCATCCCAGGATAGATATTTATAACATTTTAATACAAGAAAGAATATAATGTTCAAACAGTATGTCTCAGGAATCTTCAAAGAATCAAAATAATCAGGTCTTGGGTGGCCTAAAAACTATCTCCTAGCCCAAAGAACACTTAGAAAAATCACTTGTAATACTTCCTGCTCAGGACATGGATAAATAAAAGGTATTAAAGCATACACAATATCTATTGTAAAAAAAACCAAAAACACCAAATAACAACAACAAAAACCCACAAAAAACCCCAATAAAACAATGAAGCAAAAAATCAAAATAAAACCACAAACCACTTTTTTAATTGAAACCAAAGTAAAATGTGAAATGCTTCCTTAATTTTTGAGACTGCTGATTGCCTTGCCATGCTTGTTTTAATAATTACATGAGCAAAGAAACAAAGCCAGAAACAAATTCTAAGTCCTCAGGAATAAGGGATAATTTCTTTGTTCCTAGTAGGCTAAAAATTAGTGATGCATTCCATTGAAATAATTTATATTCTTCTGATGACCAGAAAAAGATTAAAGAAAAGCTTCCATTTCTGTGCTGAGCTAGCACCCTTCTTTGCAAATGAACTAGTATCAAGATGAATAACAACCTGATTATCTCCAAAGCTTAACTAGGAACGTTTAAAAGCAATCCAGGATCTTATCTGATGTGTTGCTAGTACTGGAATAAAATCTTGTGTCAGAAACATCATTACAGAGTTCCCATGCAGTCTGAGCCACAGCTATCCACCAACAGCAGCACTGCCACGTTTTCTCTCACCTGAGTGAAATCAGATGCACCCAGATTTCTTAAGGTCATGATGCAATGCAAACCTGCAATGCTAGGTAATGCCTTAACACCTTTCTGAGGCTGAATTGGGAAAATAAATTTACCCTAACTGTGGGTACTGAATTTGGGAAGATGTATTTGCATCATGGAGAAGAATGAAAGGCACCTCTAGAACATGCTTCTGACTTAGTGGAGAAATGTGTGCATTATAATGTGAATGTGTTTTCACATTCCTTTTAAAAAGCCACAATATTAAAAGAGCATAAATATTCCCAATAATGAAAGCAAAAACTCTCTTACCTTTAACACCTGAGAGCAACACTTGATAAACATTTCAAGGTCAGCCACATGCTCCACTACTTCGGAAGCTACAATTACATCAAAGGTTTCCATAGACTCTTCCACAATCTCCTCCAGTGAACTGGACTTGTACTGTATTCTCTTGGCCAGGACTGGATCAAATGACTTGTGCTGATCTGCTGTTCTAATGTTGTCCTCCACAGGATCAATTCCAGTAACTGAAGCTCCCAGTCTACCTAAAGGCTAATAAAAAAGAGTGTAATTTATTCTCTGCATGAAAACAATTTACTAAAAGGTTTCTGAAACTTTGCAATGTACAGACAAGATGCAGAAAGCATCAACACAAGACAAACAACAGTAAATGATGAGCTCTGATCCACCAGTTTTATTTTAAATGTTTATTAAAGCAAGAACACCCTTAGATTTGGGAAAGGTGGTGTTAATTTTCTTAGAAAGACTATACACACATCTAAATTGTCTTCTAAAATAATTTGTTTCCAATCCATTTTGTTACACCAAATAAAGATTTCTTTACCCTACACTCCGATAGAGAAAAAACAAAGGAGGAAAATCAATACAGTAATTAAAGGGCAGAAAACAATGTGATATTTAATTACTGTCATTACTTTCTTCAACATCCACCTGTAATGGTAAATCCTCATATCTTTTTAATGGTTACTTAATACATGATTATCTCTGTGACTTTCTCACTGCTGAGAACTAAACACTGATGTCTACTAAGATAGCAACAGCCTTGGCTGTCACTCAGGTTTCTCCGGTGTCTTCTTACTCCAAGGTTAACACCTTAGTCATCACCTCTTCTGAAACTGAAACAGGCTGCAAAACATGACCACATGTATGATATTCCAACCTGAAATTCACCAGTTGTTCAGCCTGAGAAGGTGATGCAGCACACCAGTTTTGTTGGAGAGACTCCTCTCACAAGACTACAAGATTTTGCTCAGAAGAGGAGAAAAAAAGAAGAAAGAAAACACAGGAGAGATTCAGGTCTGTTTTTAACACCTCACTTCAGGTGCTGATGAAGTTCCCAGAGTAAGTCAGCCAGATCTGTAACCCTAAATTCACAAACCATCCCTAGTCTATTGATGGGACATGGCACTGTTCAGAGCCTGAGAGAACAGTGTTCCACCACAAACAATAACTTATCAGTCGCAAGTTTGTGCAGACTTCTCTGGAGGCCATGTTACATCAGCCCCTGTACCACTGCAATCACTACTGACACAAGAGATACGATTTATTTGCTTGATGTTATTCCATGCATTTCCCATAAGATCAAAGGTGAGAATCCCCACCCCCATGTAAAACACTGATGATAAGCAATTCAAATAAATGAATGTGTAAGAACAAATTTATAACAAAAATTACTTCTTTGGTAGTGAGAATATGATGATTCTCCTGATTTAGAATCTCAGAATTTTAGGATTTCTCATTACCAATTCCCTCATTCTCTGTAAATCACCACCACTATGCTATCCGAATACTCTCTGGGTTTTTTTGTAAGAGTGCACTGCACTCTACTCAGAACTAACATATCACAGAAGAGAAAATGTCCTCCTTGGAGGATTAGAAATTAAGCTGTGTAATCACTACAACAATTCAAATACCTTGCATGCCTTTTAACAAGAAAACGCACAGCACACTGTTCCTTACCTCACTCAGCAGTCCTCCACCGCAGCCCACGTCAAGAATCTTGATTCCAGAAAGTGGATTTCCCAGATGATAATTACTACTCATGCTCAACAGAGTATCTCTGAAAGAAAAGGGATGTGATTAAGGTCGAACCCACAAGGTGATTCAGTAGATGCAATATGTAGTTATCTTAAGTACTGGTAATTGGCTTTTTTTACAGTATTTTCTGAGGTCAAGCAGAAATAGTACATATTAAATAAAAAAATCTGTCTTCAAAACCATACCTAATAAATGGCACTCTAATGTCATTCATAGAATGAAGGGCTGCATATTCTCCTTCTTCATCCCACCACTTATGTGCAAGGAGCTGGAATTTTTTCATTTCCTTTGAATCCACTGATGAGTGTGAAGTGCTGAAAGGTCTCTTCACAGTGAACCTAAATAATGAAAGCTGAATGTCATTATAAACCAATACATGTATTTCATGCAGGTTAAATATGGAAAAACAAATACTGCATCAGAAAATGCAAAAAGATAAAACTCATGTTTCTTCAGAGATTCCAGTTACACTTGTTTAGCAGCATACAGATATTATACACTGAATAGGTAACATATCTTCCAAAACTGATGGCTGCATGCCAGCAATTTTTCAGTTGGCAATCAGTAAAACAACAACAGGCCACATCAAACATTGAAATGTGTGAGATATATAAATGGCTCCACGTGACACTGTCATGAAGTCAAATTAAATCGTTACAGAAAAGGGTAGCCCTTATCACACAGGGTTATTTTAGATACAATACTTACATGTTGCTTTTCATTTCAGTCAGAGAGACAGGCAAGGTACTGCTGGATTTCAGTTGTCTTTTCCTGTTGTAATCTTGAAGGATACATCTCAGACCCATCTGAAGAGACAGATCAACATGGTCATCTGCATAAATAAAAGACAACCAAATAGAAAACATCAGCTTTACAAGAAGTCAGAGGCAAAACACGTAGTTGTAAGAGTGCTGCTCTAGAAGAATAGTAACCATTAAATCTTTGCACATTTGCTCACTATCATACTTAGGGAGCTGGGGATTAAATAAAAGAATGTATGCTAGTTCATCACCTCTGTACTCATCAAATGGATGTACTATGCCATGTTCAGAGACTGAACAATGCAACTGAAATATTTCAGTTAGTGTGAATTTCCCCATAATATTTACTCTGACCGTGAGCTGCGCACACACACCCACTCAGCAGCGCTGGGTTTATTATGTGTTATTAATAATGAGACATACACAGCTGCACACTCATTTTGCACTGTAAGGAAACCTAATCAAAAAAACCTCACGAACGATGCACAGACAGGCCAGGGACAATATCCCGCAATTGTTCTCCACTCCTACTTAGCCGAAGCAGGGCTCTCCCTAGCCCGGCGAACACTCGCTCACATCCAGCTGCTGCCTGGTCACCAAGAGCCCCCGAATCACAGCAATGTCTCACTGCACCCAGAATAAACCACCCCGCGAAGATGATCTTAGGCCGCAGCGAGCGATGGAGCGATCCAGACAGCTCTGGACTGCAAAGGAGGCGGCAGGAGAACACCACCTTCCCGAGGGGCCGCCGCTGGGCTAGAGCTAAGCGGGCCTGGGGTGCCGTGAGACGCGGCCGGCAGCTGCCGGACACACGCCCGGGGCCGCCGGCGGCGGAAGGTTTGCGGGGCCCGGCTGTGAGGGAGCCGGCGAGGCCAAGCCCCGTTTCGGC